GAAGAAGGAACCCTTTTCGTTGGGGAGGGGCTCCGTTTTCCTTGATGGTTTCACAGCTTCCCTCAGGTTGTCCTTAGGTTTTCGATGGGAAATCGAAGTTTCACTTATGGAAGAAAGGGGCCTCGCTCCTGATTTGGGGTTCCTTTAGGTCAACGCCCCCCACTGTATGCGCGGAGCTGCTGCTCCTTCTGCAGCCGCGTCGGCGGGGCGCGGCGCCAGTGGAGCTCAGCAACTCCAACGACAGCCTGCAGACGCAGGTGGAGACGCTGGAGCGCGCCAGGCGCCGCCCGCCGGCCACGGCCGTGGCCACGGTGGGATCGGGCGCGCGCGCGGGGATCGGCGACCGCCCCCCCCGCGCGCAGAACTCTTTGTGGGCCCCGGAAGCGGCAGGGCCGTTTTTTTCACCGTTTCCAGAAAATGTCCCTCGAAAATGGAAACGGCAAGAAAACGGCGTCCGGAAACGGCGAAAAAAACGGCTCAAGGACTGGAACTGGAGCCGGAACCGGTCAAACAACGGCGACGGAACCGGTAAAGGAACGGCGCCAGAACGGGCAAAAAAACGGCACAAAACGGAACCGGTAAAAAAAGGGCCCTGTCGTTTCCAGGGCCCACTGAGGCAGAATTCAAGCAGTGGCGAAGCGTCCCGGCTGGCCTATAGCCCCACCAAACAATGTTTTAAGTTTGTGGTTCCCGCGAAAGGTTCTCAGAACCTTTCTGGCTGGGACTGTCTTGTTTTAACACATCGGGCTTCTGTTCTAAGAACATTGATTTGGTTATTAGAACATGTTTGGGTTCTAAGAAGATTCCGTGGTATGACTACAGGAATGCCGGGACGGTCGGTCCCTGCTCAAAGAACGACTCGCCAAGCGCGTTCCATTACTCGCAAAGTGCCTGCTCGCAAACGTCCGAAAAGCACGCGTTCGCCTCGACGTAATGTATCGTACATCCCCCACGGTGGATCCAGGCCATTTGCGGGTAGTGACTTTGCGAGTAGTGGAGCGCGCTTGTCTGGCGACGCACGCCACCTCTGCTCGGCGGAGAGCGAGGGGGGGGGAAGGGAGAAGAATCAGAAGGCCTTCTCGGAAGGCGGCGGGGCTTCTCGGAAGCCCCTGTGCCTTCCGAGAAGTTCTCCTGTGCCTTCGGGGCAGGCTTGGAAGACTTCTCAGAGGGCCCGGGGGGCCTCCGAGGGGGCAGGGAGAGGGAGACGGCCCTCTCAGAGGGCGGAGGGGCTTCTCAGAAGCCCGTGCGCCTTCTGAGAAGTGCTCCTCTGCGCCTGCGGGGCAGGCTTGGAACACTTCTCCGAGGGCCGGGGGGCGTCCGAGCCCGCCGAGAAGGCCTGCTCCTCCTCCTCCTCCTCCTCCTCCTCCTCCTCCTCCCTCCTCCTCCTCCTCCTCCTCCTCCTCCTCCTCCTCCCTCCTCTCCTCCCCTCCCCTCCTCCTCCCCCTCCTCCCCCCCCCCTTCCCTCCCCCTCCTCCTCCTCCTCCTCCTCCTCCTCCTCCTCCTCCTCCTCCTCCTCCTCCTTCGCCTCCGTCCCCATCGGGCCCGCCGCCGATCTGCTCCCCCCGTCCTGCTGCCTCTCTGGGCCCCCCCAGGCGGCCTGAGGAAGCCCCGCGCGCTCACTCCACGCCTCGCCTCGCAGCCCCCTATCCACCGCGCCGCCCAAGACAGGTCCGAGCCCCCCCGGATGGAGCGGCACTTGGCAAGTCTTCTGTCTGGACGCCCGAAATGGGTACGGAAAGGATGGGTACAATGCCCAACGGGACTCGCTGTCGGTGTCGCCGCGGCCTGTGTGCATTTGGGACAGAGGGCCGCCTGCCCAACAGCGGCCGCTGTTGGTTTGGGGCAACACTTGTTGTCGGGCATTGTGCCCATTCTTTCCGTGCCCATGCCGGGCGTCCAAATTCTTTATGCGAGAGATCTGATGTATAACATACGCGTTTCAGTGCTGCCCCATCCGCCACTCGTCGAGGGCATTCGCGCCGTGTCGCTGGGGTGTCTCACGCCCTCCGTCTCCGCCTGCGGAGCGAGGTGCCTCTACAGTCGGGGCCCTGAAGAAGGAACCCTTTTCGTTAGGGAGGGGCTCGGTGTTCCTTGATTGTTGTGCAGTTTGCCTTAGGTTCCCCTAAGGTTTTCCATCGGAAATCGAAGTTCAACTTTTGGAAAAAAGGGACCTCGTTCCGTATTTGGGGTTCCTTAGGGCAACGCCGCGACTGTGCGGGCTCCTCGACCGGACTTGACTTGACTTGACTTGATTTGCCACCAATGCGGAGACAGTGGGCGAGCGCAGCGGCTCTTCTCTCACGTGGGCGTGGGAGCAGACATGGGGCCTCGGGGGGGCTTCCTGGGCGCCTTGTCAGGGCCTCCTGGGAGCCTCTTGCGGCGCACGGCTCGGAATGTCACCTGGCGTTCCCCGCTTCGAGCGCCTCTCTGAGGGCCCTCTCGTGGCCCTCCTCGGCCGTCTTTGGGCTGCGAGGTTGCCCGTGGAGAGAATTGGGCTTTCAAGATTTCACCCGAGCGGGACATTTTTTTTTTGATTCGCGGGTCGAGAGCGCACCTCTTCCAGTCGAAGCTAAGCGGGCCGCGCAGAGCTTGAATTACGCAGACAGAGAAGGGGGAGGAGAAGGGGGGCGCAGCCTCAGAACGAGGCCGGGAGGAGGCAAAGCCTCGGAACCAGGCACCGCGTATTTCAAATCACAGCACGAGCCAACGAGCGGGACAAAAAAACACATCGTATTTCAAATGGCGCGCGTCTGGCGCGCCGTACCTCCCAACCCTTTTGGGGGTGGGCGGGCGTGAAGGACACGACGAGTTCGCCCCCCCCCCCCCTCTCCTCCTCCTCCTCCTCCTCCCCTCTCCTCCTCCTCCTCCTCCTCCTCCTCCTCCTCCTTCTCCTCCTCCTCCTGCGCCTCCTCCTCCTCCTCCTCCGCCTCCTCCTCCTCCTCCTACTCCTCCTCCCCCTCCTCCTCCTCCTCCCCCTCCTTCTCCTCCTCGGGGTGTCGCCGTCCGCTCTCTCCCGTCTGTTCTCCTCGGCTCGGCGGCTGCTCCTCGTCCTCGTCCCGACGCCGTCCGATATGCGAGCCTCGATGCTGTCCCGATGCTATCCTCGATGTGATCCTTATCCTCGATGTTATATCCTCGATGTGATCCTTATCCTCGATGTTGATCCGATGTTATCCTCTCCCTCCCCCCGTCTTGAGGGGGAGCGTGAGGGAGCCGATGCGTCCGCCCCCCCTCTTCTCCTCCCCGTGGGCTCCCCTCGCCCGCTACCCCCAGCTTCTTTCTCCTCCGTTCGGCGCTGCTCCTTCCCCCCGCTGGGCTCTCGCTCCTCTCCTTCTTGCTACTCGCTTCTGCGTGCCCGGCCCTACCTTGAAGTCGGGCCTGTCCCTCTACAGGGGGAATGTTGAAGCATAGTCAGAACATAGTCTGGGGACCATGTCTTGACTGTTGTTTCTCATTCGGGGGGCATCTTTTGGGGGTATTGGTTTTATTTTTCGTCCAAACTCTGCCTGTAGGGGGACATGCACGACCTGACCCTACCTCGGGGCCGCGGATCCCGCCCTCCTCCCCAAAGAACGTATTGATGTCTCAGGCGGAGTCGCGCTGCGCCCTCCTCGCGGGAGCCCGGTGGCCGACCTCCCCCAGCGTCGGGGGGGAGATGCGACACCATCAACACCCAGGGGGGGGCCACCTCCAGCGAGGAGGTCCACGATGCCTCCCCGAGCTGGAGGCTGGGGATGTCTCGAGCGAGAGGCAGGCGCCACGCCACGCCAGGGAGGCCCCCCCCCTGGCTCCTCGCACCTCCTCGCCCTGGCGGTGTTGTCGTCGCCTCTCCTCGCTCCTGCAGCGGAGGAGGAGGAGGAGGAGGAGGAGGAGGAGGAAGAGGAGGTGGAGGAGGAGCCCATGCAGAGGGCAGGTGGGCTCCCTGCAGCGAGGGCCCCTCCTTCGCCGGTGGCCGGCGAGGCGCCCCCGGGCAGGCCGAGGCCACTGGCGCTGCCTGGCCCTGCGCCCGCACCCTCGCAGGGGCACGCCCCTCTCGCACGGCTCGCCGCATGGGGTGCCGCCGCCCGGGTTTGCCCCCCCCCCCCACCACCCACCCCACCCACACTCGTAGCCTGAGCCCTCCGCATCCCTCCTCTCTCCAAGAGGGGGAAAAACACACACAGACACAATGAATCGTCGATTCCCCAGAGAGTAGGGCTGCCGCCGCCCGGATTTGCCCCCCCCCCCCCCCCTCCACTCGGCCCGAACGAAAGGGGGGGATAGGGAAAGGGGGGGTTACGAAATCTGCTGCATGCGGCTGGTTTCGGCCCCTCCGCCAGGCCCACTCCTCGATGCATGGGCGCCTCCCGGCGCCGGGAGGCGCTGGGAACATCAGCTACGTGAGCTGATTCTCAATCCCCCCCTTTGCTATCCCCCTTTCGCCCGGCCCCCCCACCCACCCCACCCACACGCTCAGCCTGAGCCCTCCGCATCCCTCCTCTCTCCAGGAGGGGAAAAAACGCACAGACACAATGAATCTTCGATTCCCCGGAGAGTACGGGGAAATATGGGAAGGGGGGGGGGGAAGACAAAGACCCAGAACATATGGGAAAACATGGGGAATCCTGATATTTGTGTGTATTGATTTGTGTGTCCCAGGGCCCCTTCATCTCTTTCGTGCCGACGGCGGTTCGCCGAGGCGTGGCGCCCCTCTCTCCTCCCCCTCGCGCCCCCCCTCCCCCCCTGCCGGCGCTCCCTCCTGGCCCGTGCGCGGTCCCTCGTGGAGCCTGAAGGTCCCTGAATATGCTCTGCGGTTTGGGGGACGTCGTCTGGAGCTCGTCAAGATTTCAACGACACGTGGACAAAGTTTGGACTCTACTGGACGACAGGGGGAAGACGGGCGGTCGCAGTCTGGACGAAATATCAGGTCGAGATCGCGTCGCGCTCGTGATAGGGCCGCGGGAGGTCCACACAGGCTCCCATGGAGGCTCGCCCAGCATCCCACCTCCCCCATCCCCTTCTCGGCTCGAGCCCGCTTCGTAGCCCATCCAGACGCTTAGCGGCAGGACGGGCGCCAGCGGCAATGGCCCTGGGCGACGTGACCAACACCAGGCTAGAGCTCCCCCCGCGCTACCGCCAGTGTGCTGTGGACGAAGAGGTCCGCGGCCTGGAGAACGAAGTGCCCGCAGAGGCCATGCGGCGTTGAATCTGCGACCCAGCTTCGTGGCCAAGTTTGTGAGGTAAGGACTCAGACATATCCTCCGCCAGCATGAGCTAACCTTCCTTGACCTCGGCCGTAGGTGGAGAAGGATAGATTCGATGCCTTGGGGCCCAAATATGCTCATATATGTCAATAGGTATTGCTCCACGGGTTCCTGGGACTTCTGCTCCCCGTGCGGTGGATAGCTATGTATGACTCCCCGCTTCGTGCAGCTGAGATCCAGGAGGGGGAAATTTCCCACCCGGGTTTTTCTCTGTGCGAAGACCCGGCGCTCGGCCCCCGAGTGGGCATCACAGCTCTCACAGCTCTGTCCCCTCGGATGCTGAAAGAACCCCCGCCAGTTCTTGTTGGTTGGCCGAGTTGGGCCCGAAGTGATGTTTTGAAATTGAGAAGCTGGGGGCGCGGCGATTCATGTGTCGTGATGGGTCGTATGATGAGCACGGTATGAGGGTGATAAGACTGCGATCTCTCATCATCCGTGCTGTATTGACCACAGTGCTGCCCGAATGGGTGCCAAAATTGTTGCCTCCCCGACCTGTTGCCGCGGAGGAGTTTCTGCCTGACGTCGAAGGCCCTTTGACATCGGGCATCATTTCGAGGAGCATTACGGGCAGCACGTCGAGGTTTGATTAGCTCAGCGCAGCTTCTGAGAAAAGACACGGGGGATTTGTATACGAGGTCCCGGTTCTGATTCGCGCAGTCATTTCGATTCACCCCCGCCCCCCTCTATGGGCGCGTTTGCTTGGCAACGCTTGCCGCCTCGCGCGCGGGAAAGGCCCCACGTTCGGCGGGAATTCGGCCAACGTTCAGCGGGGATCGGGGCCAAAGTCGGGCAGGATTTTCCGCATCCGAGGGACGATTGGGCCGTGGGCGCCTCAGCGCGGTGCGCGCCTAGAGGAGCATCTTTTGGAGGATTCGTGGCCGCATGTTGACGTGAAGGCGCAGGCAGGAACAGCAAACGGGAAATATCATTGACATGTTTCGCGTGCGCTGGCTTTCTTACGATCCGTGTGCAGGTACGCGTGTAAACGATGCTTGCCGACGCGTCCAACTATGCACGAATGCCTCTTGGCTACTCCGCACTGGGTGCATGTGTGGAGGGTGTGCTGCTCATGAGCAGCCCCTGCGTGCTGCAGCTTCTGAGGTGGTCGCCTGGATGCCTGCGGGTTCTTGTGGACCCCGACGGCTCTCTCCAGAGCAATGCCTCGCGCGCCGAGCGTGCGGTGGCGGCTCTGATCCCTGTGGATCTCTCCGGCTCCCTCCCCCCAGCTGGCCCCCTGTGCCGCGCGCTCTGACGGTCGCGTGCCCCCCCCCCCCGTACCCCTTTCAGTGGCTCCCTCCCAGGTGGCGCGGCGCGCGGCGTGCGGCACGGCCGTGAGGCGCGCGCACGCCGCCGCCCACGAGGCTGCGCCGCAGATGCTGCATCGCACGGGCTGCACCCCGCGTGCTGCACCCCACGGATGGGGCCGCATGCGCTGCACACTGGCCCCCAGGGGGAGGGTCCCTTCGCCCTACGGCTGTACTAACACGGATGCATGCACACGTGCATGTGTGCAAAGCGGTGTGTAGAAGCTTACGCGTGGCCTTCGGCCCATCGCGTCTCCGAGCCTGGGTCGTGAGGCGGAGGCGTGTTGGATGATCCTTGGGGTCTGTTGGGATGCCTCCTGGGCGGCATGCTGGAGGCATTTCGAGGAGCCTCCTGGCAGCCTTTTGGGGCCCTCATGGAGCCTCCTGGGTGCCTCTGGGTGCCCGTCTGCCATATTCGGATTCTCCTTGGGCCGTCTTCGGGGGCTCTTGCGGCCTTCGGTGGCAATCCGATGGGAACCTTGGAGAACCTTAGAGCGGCCAGAAATTTGATCTCCCCCACCAGGTTGCTTGTCTTGGCACCGCGGGCTCTGTAGTAGACATCAGCATGGAGACATAATCGGAGAAACCAGACACAAGCACATGCAAGAGCACACAAAGAACAGTTAGCAGCAGACCAGCTGCCCCCCCGCACAGCCTTGAGCCCCCGGAGGGAGCTAGCGGATTTGTGTATTGCGCATGCGCTGTTTTGGACAATTCGGGGGTGGATAGACCTCCTACCCTGACACGTCGATTAAGGAATTGGCAGTTTTCGGTTCGCGGGAGGGCCTCGCGGTCGTCATTTTTGCGGGTCCAGGTCCGTCGAATTCGGTCCCAGGCCGTTTTCACTAACGGGAGGTCTACGAAAGGGAGGTTTGTCCACCGCAGATAAATGGTACACGTGTCGGTGTATGATTGCCACCACTCGTTCATATTGATCGCAGTTGTGAAACTCACGCTCGCGCTTCCTCCTCGTATCGCGGGGTGGGGCGGGTCCTCGGCCGAAGCCCAGACAGGCTCTGACCGCGCTCAAGTTCGCGGAGCAGCCCTGCGACGTCTATTGCGACCCTGCACCCAAGGCGCCCAGTCCGCGGGTGGCCCATCACCAGCTTGTGTCCGCCTGCGCGTCTGACCTCCAGGAGCTCTGGATGCGCTCGGCGGATGAGCACAGCGAAGGCATGCACGACGGATTCAAAGAGCGATAGCGTTATCATGACTCCTCCTCTCCTGCCTCCTCCTCCCCCCCTTCTCCTCAAGCCTCTTCCGCCTCCTCGTCCTCATCCTCCTGCCCCGCGTCTCTTCTCATCCAGCTACTCCTCCCTCCCCTCTGCCTCCTAGCGTGCCGGATCCCAGGGAGCACGGCTCGACCTGAACCGTGTGTTAACGATTCCGTGGATAGTGTTTGTTCTGATTCCGTTGCGCAGCACAGGAGCGACGAAGAGCAGACGAGGGACAAACAAAACAAAGCGAGAACGAAAAACACCGTTTTGGTCGAGCCCTGCCAGTGGGTCACGCTCCCCCGTCGTCTCGAACTGCGCTGAGGCATGCAGTGCGCGCTGCAGAAGTTCAGCCGCGTGGGGCACCCGCGCCTCGCGACCGCCCTGATGACCCCGCCGAGGGCCCCGCCGCCGCCGCTGGGCGAGGATCTTGGCTGGGCGCCCAGTCGGAAGCTCTCCCGTGGGTTTGTTCGGTAGCAAATCATGGGAGCCGATTCAATAAGTAACATAGTCAAGGATAGCCTGTCTTATTTTTTCTAAGACCCAGGAGTGCTACAAGCTTCCCCATGTTTCTGCTGATTCATACTACATCTAATGTGAAGCGCTATGGGTATTATACACTCTCGATTCTGTCTCTAGCGTCGGCTGGCGTCGACTGGCGTCTGGGAGTCGATGGGATATCGCCGAGTTGGCGTCGTTTTGCGTCGATCAGCGTCGACTTAACGTCGATGAGCGTCGACTGGCGTCGATTAGCGTCGACTGGCGTCGATGAGCGTCGACCCGCAGGAGCAGACAGGCTGGGATGGGAGGCTCCCGTGAGCTGCCAACGAAGGGTTGGCCCACCGCTCAAGGGGCTCAGGTTCTCGCCGGCGCGATGGGTCCTGGCTGACGCTGGGGCTATGGGGCTCTCCGGCCCCCAGCTCAGCATCGGTTCTTCTGCGGACTGGTCTCTTAGCGCACCAGAGCCATGAGACTTGGAACATCCGCGGAGGAGTGGGCGCAGCACGGCGGGCATTTCGCCTCAGCGCTTGCCACGGAGTTGCAGCGCTACGCGGGCGCGCCGATGGGCGCGATGGACATGGAGTTGCGGGTGGACGCGTCCTTGCAGGACTAATGCTTTTGTGAACCCCGATGCCCCTCCCTGCTCTTTCCGTCCACCCCTGGAGTTTCCCCGCAACCTCTTCCCCAGTCCTTCCGCTCTGCGCCGCGGGAGCTTCGAGGTCTCGGCAAGAATCTGTGAGCGTTTCGCGTGTAGCACCGTTCGAGTGCGAGCGTCTGATCCACGCCCGTAGCTCACTCCCGCGTGTGCTGCCTGGCCCCATCTGGCCCTGTCCCCCCATGTGCAGCAGACGTGTCAACCGCTGCAAATGCAATCTGCGGGAGGGGCGGGAGGGGCAGGGTGTCAGATGTGGCGTGTGGGGAGCCCCTAGCCTGCCCCACCCCGGTCTCCCGTCTCCTGCACCCTGTCTCCCATGCGGCTCGCTCCGCACCCCTCCGCCCCCCCCTCTCTCACTCCCACCACCACAACCACGCACACACGCACGCACGCACGCACGCGCACCACCACCCACTAGTCCGCGGATAGAGAAAATCAGCGCCATGGTAAGGGATGGGAGGGAGGGGTAGGACGTCAGATATGACGCGCGCGCACCTAGCTTGCTCACTCCCCCTCCCTCCCTTCCTCCGCCCTTTTCGCGCTGGCCCGCCGGGCGCAGCGGCGGGCGCCTCGCAGCCGGCGTCAGCGGGCACATCGCGGCCAGCCTCGACATGATCCGCGGCGGATCTGTGCAGCGCCCGCAGCTGCCGACCGCCGCGCAGGTACGCGGACGGGGGCGCGCGCGCCAGACACGCGCCTCCAAGTTGCGTGCACAGTCCTTGGCATCCCTCGGACGTGTCCTTTTTTCCTCGGCGAGGACACTGGGGGAGCACCTTGGCTCATGTTCGACAAGGAAGCGCACGACATCGACATGTGCACGGGAAATGGACGCCTGAGCGATGGCAAGGGTCCTTCCCCCCCCTTTCCCTGCCCCTTCCTGCCTCCGCCCCTGAAGGGGGGTACAGTCAACCCGCATAGTCAGGATGGGCAGTTTTCCCAAGGGTGCCCTTGCATCCTTGCCCCTTCGGCCCATCCTTGGCCACTATCGCTGGCCGCGCCCCGCTCGAAGAGCTTCGAAATGGCCCTCCAAGACCCTTGCAGCCTTCTCGTGCGTCCTCATGACACGGGTCGGCTGCACATGCAGGGAGGTATGCGAGCAGCGAGCTGTTGTTGTCGCCCCTCCCCTCCCGCGACCCACCCCGCGACCCAACCCGCGGGCCACCCGCGACCCGCCCCGCGCCCGCCCCCTACCTTTCAGCCGGCCTTCCGGGGTGCTTCGCACAATCGCTTCCAGGCTCCACGATGCGTAGTTGGAAGACTCGGGAGCGGAAAAGAGGGGGGTGATGACTAGGGGGGGGTGGATCTCATGGCGCGGGCCATGATTTTTCCTCAGATTTCATGGCGTTTCTTCTTATCTTATTACGTCCCAGGCCCCCCCGCTGGGCCGCGCACATGCCGCCGGTCATGATTTGCAACCCCCCCTCTTGGACACCCCCCTCTTGGCCGCTCCCGAAAGACGGGGAGGAGGGGTAGGGTCAGGATGAGGCGGAGGGAGGCACTACTCGAACAAGCGGGTCAGACAAGCCGTCGTCGCCTCTGCGCGTCCTTGTTGCGCGTCCTTCTTCAAGGGCGTGGAAAACGCCCCTACCCCGGTTTACGAGGCGCTGTGCGCCGAACCTCCTGTGGGCCGATAGTGTAAGCCCTGCGTATCGCGCGTGGCGCGCGGCGTCCTGGCGGCTCTCTGGCCCGTGGGAGCTCTCAGGAGGTTTAACCCCATACCCACGGTAATAATGTACCCCCCCTGTTACACATAAGGGTTGATTATCCACGGCCAATAAGAGTTTGGTCGGGGGCGCGGGGCGCGGAGGCCGAACTTCATTATCACGGGGAAACGTTCGCCATCGAGGTTACTTCCTTCTTATGTTGAGATAACAACACCAAGCGAAGCGAACACGTTTTTCAGTATGTCTCAATCGAAACCAATAATTTCGGGAGGCGGCCTCAAACGAAACGATCAATGTTTCGTTCTCCTCCTCCCCGTGGCCCCTGAACTTGTTTATCGCTGTGCTTTATTATCCAAGGAAACCGAGGCAGATGAGCTACCCTACACGAGCAGATGACAAGTTTCATTTCCATTAAGCGTTTACAAATTAAATATAATAAGTTTTGAACTTTGCTTCCCCCTCTTGCTCCTCTTGCCTTCTCCCTTCCTCCTCTTGCTGTTTCTCCTCCTCCTCCTCTTTCTCCTCTATCTCCTCTTCTCATTCTACCTTTCTATTTATCTCTCTATCTTTCTTCTCCTCCCCCTGCCCCCCTGAATTTGTTTATCGCTGGAGATCACTATCCATGGAACTCGTTAATGGGGCCGACACAAGCGTCAATTCATTTCTATAACAGATAATGATAAACTCATAGAAATCTTTCAGGAATCCATAGGAATCTAAAGAAACTCGAGGAATCGATCGAAATCAATACGTATTCATATAGAAACCTATAGGGATGTAGAAACATCCATAGGGATGTAGAGAAATCTATAGGGAACCCAAACATCGATCGAAATCTGTTGAGGATGTTTCAGCAAGGACAAAAAGCCAAGGATGTCTCAAGATATCCTCGGCTTTGGCTCCTCTGTCAACATCTTTATGCTGGCCTCTGGTGGGCAACTTGTATTATCACCCCGTAACCGCCGAACCTTATTATCCCTGGGGGGTTATTCTCGGGAGCATGGGGCTACTGCCCACGCACTCGTGACCCAGGGCAGGGGCGTTTTCAACTTCTCGCGCATCCCTAATATGGTACGGAACGAGCTGCCTGGCCGCGGGGGGCGGCGGCCCGGGGAGGACTCCGCCCTGGACGCGCTGCACGCCATGGCCCAGCAGTCCGCCCGCCACGCCCCGCGCTCCGGGGCGGCCGTGCGCGCGGCGATCGGCGAGCAGGAGCTCCCCCGCGCCGCCCCCCCAGAGAGGTCCCGCCCGGGAGGAGGCGGGAAGGAGGCCGCGGGCTCCTCCTCGGGGGCGGCAGCGAGGGGGGTGAAGACTGGGGGGGGGGATATCATGGCGGGGGCCAGGAGATTCCCTCAGATTTCATGGCGCCTCTGCGTGTGTGATTACGTTCCTGGCCCCCCCCCCCTGGGCCGCGCACATGCCGCCGGCCATGATTTGCGCCCCCCCCCTCCTTGACGCCCCCCTCTTGGCCGCCATCGACGTCCGTCGGGGGGAGGAGAAGCGGCACCATCACCACCAGTTGGCCCACCTCCGGCGAGGAGGTCCACAGTGCCTCCCCGAGCTGGGGATAGGGGGATGCTTCGAGCGAGAGGGGGGGGGACCACACCACCAGGTCCCGTCCAGGAGGAAGTGGGAAGGGGGCTACGAGCTCATCCCAGAGCGCGTGGATGAGAATCGAAGAAGAACAAGCGGCACGAAACATACTAAGTTTCCTCGCCTGGGCCCCCTTTGGCGGCGCCTCCGGCGCCGCGCCTGGCCCAGCGCGGATCCGAGAAATCCGCGCGGACCTCCAAAAGTTTATGTTGATACCATCTTTTCTTCCTCCAAAGTTCGAGGACGCATCGGGGATGAGTGGAGGTAAGACAGGACAGGAACGGACGGGGGGGAGGAGGGGGAGGAGGGAGGACGGGCAGGGGATCTTCGCGTTCCCCCATACGTTCCCCCATGCCTGCAGTCCGCAGGAAACCTCATCCGCGCGGCGCGCGGCCTGGTAGCCCCACAAGGGGGGCCGACGGATTTGATCTAGAGGTGGCAGATGGGAAGAAGGTGGGCGGAGAAGGGAGTTTTCGGATCCTCCTCCCAGCAGGAACGAGAGCAGATCGTGCTGTGGCTGCTGCAGGTGGGGCTGGCTTGCGGGCTCTTGGACGAGGCTTCGAAAGGAGAACGGTGCGGAGAACGAGGAGAATGGGGAGGGGGAGACCCAGGTGGGAGGGCACGAGGAGCAGACTAGAAGGGTCACGAGGAGGGAGAGGAACATGAGGATGATTAATGCTTCAGCTTCGTTGCCTAAGTCCGGCCAACGCGCAAACAAAGCAAGGATGACGATGGCGAAACGGCGGAGGTTGGATGAGGAGCAGGAGGTGGAGCATCAGAATAGGCAGGGACACCAGAAGCGGAGGGCCAGGAAGAGGGGGATGATAATGAGTCTCTCTCCTCCGTCCAGGCACAATTCGCTGCCCCTCTGCATTCCTCGGAGAAGTGGCGCGGGACGTGACGAGGAAGAACGCAGGCGAGGAGAGGAGAGGGGGCTGGAGCAGCGGGCAGGGCAGGAGGAACGGCGTGCCGAGGAACGGCAGGGGGATCGGTTGGGGACAAGGGTGGGAATTGAGAATGAGGGGGATTTTGTTGATGATGATTGGTGATAGGTACCATTTCGATGATCACCGCCGCCGGCATCGTCGCGCCATGCATCTGTTCTGGCTTGGATGGAGGGGCACGCCCGGCTCGCCTCGCCCGTCGCGGCAACCGCGGCGCGCCTGGGCAGCCTCCTCGGCCACTGGTGGGCAGGGCCCGAGCTCTGGACCTAATTAGGGTGCCCCGCCTCCCCCGCCCGCAGCTGCCGGTCGGCCTGCAGGGACCTAGGGTCTCCAGGAGGACGGGGGAGGAGGAGGGGGGAGGAGGAGGAGGAGGGGGGAGGAGGAGGAGGAGGAGGAGGAGCAGGAGGAGGAGGAGGGGGAGGAGGAGGAGGAGGAGGAGGAGGAGGAGGAGGAGGAGGAGGAGGAGGGAGGAGGAGGGGGGAGGAGGAGGAGGAGGAGGAGGAGGAGGAGGAGGAGGACGAGGACGAGGAAGAGGCGGAGGAGGAGGCTCTGGAGACTGCTGGAGCTCTGGACCTAGGGTGCCCGCCTGCAGCTGCACCGAGGTGCGGTGCCCGGCGCCGACGTCCGTCATATGCCCCGTGGCCAGCGGCCCCGCTGCCGTCCTCGGCCGGGGCGGCGCCCCGCCCGTCCTGCTCGCGCGGCGGGGCCGGCGCGGCGGTGCTCGCCGCCTGCTCGCCGCCTGCCTCGCGACCGCGGCTCTCGCCCTGGGGCTGTCGGCCGCCTGCCGCCTGTGGGGCCACGGCCGGGCGAAAGGGGGGGATTGGGAAAGGGGGGGTTACGAAATGTGCGGCATGCAGCTGGTTTCGGCCTCACCGAGGGGCCCCTTCCTCGATGCACAGCCGCATCCGGCGCCAGGAGGCGCCGGGAGAAGCGGCTGCGTGAGCTGATTCTCGAACCCCCCCTTCGATATCCTCCCCTTTCGCCCGACCCGAGTGGGGCCACGGCCGGTGGGCCCGGGGAGCCGCGGGCGGGGCGTTTTGCGGCACGCCGCCCGCCGGCGCCGCTGGGGCCGCGGCGCTGCGTACGGGTGTTGGCCTCCTGTCCGAGGGCGTTGGCGCGCTGCAGCTCAAGCGCAGGTGATGGCGGTCGTCCCCAGCGCGCTGGGCATCGAGCCCATGCAGGCGGGGCGCGCCTCCGACGACGGCACCAGCTTCCGTTCGCACCATCGACGGCTTTTGGCCAAGATCGGGGACGACGGCCGGTGGGCGGTGGCAGCGCCCGCTCACGTCGTGCGGGTGGCCAATTTCCTCCACCGCTCGCACCATCCCCTTCGCCCGTGGCTGTCCGATTCCTCGGCGATTCCGCGGCGACTTCTTAGGCTTCGGCCCTCTGACGGACGACGAGCCCGCGGGCCTCCTCCAGCAGGCTCATGCGCTGGCGGGTATCTTGGGTGGTGCGCCTCTCTATGCGGCTGTGGCGGCGGCGGTCTGGCATGTCGCCGATCCCGCGGGCGTCGTCGCCGCCGTGGACGTCGCCGTCTCGTCGAACCCCGCCTGCTTCGTCTCCCGTGGGGCTTGCATCCTCATTCGAGTGGACCATGGGTGGCAGCGGAGCGTCTCGAACCGATGGCCGACCTTGCCGTGCCCGCCGCGATTCTCGAGTCATGGCCATCCCGCGACGCTCAGAACTCGTGCTACCTCGACTTCCAAGAGGGCCGCGCGCCCCTCGCCGAGCTGCCGACGAAGATGGGGAAGGGCGGGGCCCACGACGCCGAGAACAAGGTTTTGCCATTCTGGGGTCCGTCCACGGCCGCGGAGATGCATCGGAGCGTCCGGTCCTCGGGCGAGTCGCTGGAGGGCCACCGCGACGCGTGGGCGAGGTCGACAGGCGCGAGCGCCGAGAGCGGCTTCGCGCGCTACCGCCAGAGCTAGATGTCGGTTCTGCACAAAGGCCTGCGCTTCGATCAGCTCGAGGTCCACAATTACCGCGCCGCGGAGATGCTAGCGCGTCGGGCCCGTAAGATTCAGAGGGCTGCTGAGCGCGCCCCCAAGAACCCCGACATCCGCGGGCTCGAGTCGATTGCCCTCGGCCGCCTAGACGCGGGCTTCATCCTGGCGGTCGGCGGATTCACGTGCCTCAGCGCCGTGGAGCCTCTTGGCGCGGCACTCCGGGTTCGGGCAGGTCGGCGATCTCAGTGGCCCGCGCCTGTATCCCTTGGCCACCGTCCTGTAGCCGCCAGGCCAAGACATCCCGAGCGAGCTTGCCAAAGCAGGTTGACGAGCAGCGCCCTCGACTCGACCTGCCAGCAAGGGGGGCGCCCGCGTCCAGACCGCCCCGTCGGCCCTCCAGGTGTTCAGGCCGGCCTGCGTGGCTGCCTGTCCTGCCGCCCGCGCGCTCCCTTCGTCGCAGGCGCCTCGACGTCCTCGGGCGCCGCGGGCGGAGGGGGCGCGGGCGCGCCCTCGTCGCCGACGAACACTTGTTGGCCGCTGGCCATGCGCCACCCGATTCCGCGAAGACTCAGCTGGCACGCAGACGAAGGCCCTCTCGCGCCGCTCCGCGCAGGAGCCTGCGCCGCCATCTTGGCAGCGAGCGCTCTCAAAGCGCGCTCGAGCCGCTGGCCAAGCGCGAAGCGCGAGTACATGCGGGTGAACTCCCAGCGCTGCAGCGTCAATTGGGCCGATGAAGCAGTCGTGCTGCGACGCCAAGAGCGTCGCGATTCCGGCGCCGCCAGGTCTGACCCCGCGCGCAGCCGCCGCCGTTTGCCGCAGCTTCTGCAAGTCAGGTTCAGGAGCCCCGGCAACCGACGCACCGTGCGCCACAGATCGGGGGCAGAAAAGAGGGGGGTGATGACTAGGGGGGGGGTGGATATCATGGCGTGGGCCATGATATTTCCCCAGATTTCATGGCGCCTCTTCTTATTTCATTACGTCCCTGGCCCCCCCGCGGGGCCGCGCACATGCCGCTGGTCATGATTTGCACCTCCCCCTCTTGGACACCCCCCTCTTTGCCGCCCCCGAACAGAGGGCGCCAGGCCTGAGCGCCGCCGAGCCTGCGACGGGGCCCCCGCCGCCTGGCGCGGCAGCTTGGCCCCCGGCACGTTCTGCTTCCGCTTGTCCAGCCTGGCTTTCGCCGCGGGGCGAGTCGCGCGCCCTGCGTGCACGGCCCAGGCTCGTGATCGCATGTTCGTTTTGATGCGCAAGATTTTTTGGCGGCGCGCAGAGGGGGGTAGGGGGAGGGGGGAAGGCTTCTTAGAAGCACCCCTGCTTCTTAGAAGGCGCGGGCCTTAAGAAGCAGGGTGCTTCTAAGAAGCCTTCCCCCCTCCCCCTACCCCTTTTTGCGCGCCGCCAAACTTTGGCGCAGGGGCCAAAGGCCTGGCCGGCCTCGCGCCCGACGCAGGAGAAGCCCGACCGGCTGCATGATGGGCCCGCGGAGCCGAGCCACCTTCACGGGTGCGCGCGCCGCCAGGGCCAGCTCTTGCACTTGTCGCAAGTGGGCTCCAAGCCACTGCTGCGTGGCATCATCCACAAGCGCCCTCCTCGGTCGCACCGAAGCGCAAACATTCGTGGTCTGCTGCGGGGCCCTCAACATCAGCACCGTCAGCAGCGCGGTCGCGCGGGCACAACCTGGCATGGCCACCTGCTTGACAGAAACCACGGTGACGGTGCCACCCGAGGCCTTTACCGCGCGCGGCATGGACACATGATATGAGCTGCCACAGCAACCACGGGGGATATCCGACGGAACGTTTTTCTTCAAACTACTGCGAAGGCAACGCCGTGCCGATGCCCTTCCACATGTCCATCGTGACCGAGACCGAATGCTCGCCCAGCAAGCGAGCGGCCTCGGCGTCCGCGTGGCGCGCGAAATTCCGACGCCGATGTAGAGCAGCCAGCCAGATTGCCCCGCGGCCCGTGCGGGGGGGGGGGTCTTGGTCTTGTATCCAGCGGCTGGACAGGGGGCGCCGAAATCGGGCCAGAAAGAGGAGCACACATCACGCATTAGAGCTAGGCTTCCACTGCGTGATCAATGTTTGCACGCAGGATGACGGGTTGTCACTCGCAGCTCGCAGCAGCAACAGCGGGTGGGTGGTAGCACTTTTGGCCAAGGTCGAGATTATCAGTAATAATAATGATAATAAGAAAGATAGTAATAACAACAATAATATTAATAATAGTAGTAGTACGTAGAATAATACTAATAAAAATAACACGGAAAACAACAATAACGGTATTTACAAACATAAAGTGGATACGGTTAACGCTAACAATAAACAAGGAGGAAGCAGAGGAGGCAGAGGATAGGGGAAAGGAAGCCGCGGAACAAGGCCGTCCTCGCCGCGGTTCAGATACTCGACCGCTACTGCGCGCGGCTGGAGGGCCCCGTGCCGCCCGGCTCGCTGCACCTCGTCGTGACGGCGATCCTCAGCCTGGCCCTGAAGGCTTGGGCTCAAGGGCAGAAAAAACGCCCCTACCCTGGTTTACGAGTCGCTGTGCTCTGAACCTCCTGTGGGCTGACAGGGTAAACCCTGCGTGATGTGCCGCGTCCTGGCGGCTCTAGGCTTTGGGGGTTCCCAGGAGGTTTACAGACCACGCACTTGAAACCCAGGGTAGGGTCGTTTTTATCCCTCAATGGGCCGCCCTGTGTCGGATCCTCTTCCATCTCGCTTCCGGGGCGTGGTGGGGGCAAGGAGAGGAGGAAAGGGTACCCATACCTCTACCCTTGCCTCGTTTTCCCCTTTTGGGGCCTCCTGGGAGGCCCTCGTCGCCACCGCTGGATTCGCCTCGAAATTCTGGTCAGAACGCACCCCAGGAGAGGTCTGGGGAGTAGGGGTATCGGTACCTTTTGGTTTCCTCAGGAAAGGAGAAGCGACACCAAGACCACCAGGGGGCCACCTCCAATCGAGGAGGTCCACGATGCCTCCCCGAGCCTGGGCTGCGGGATGTCTTTAGCCACCAGGGGGACCCCTCCCTGGCTCCTCCCGCTGGTGGTCCCTGGTGGTGTTGGTGTCGCTTGTCCACGCTCCTAGGGTGAGGCGGGGCCGTTTCTTCCCCCTTCAAGCAGTGGCGAAGCGTCCTGGCTCGCCTATAGCCCTACCAAACAATGTTCTAATAATCTTTAGACGTTCCCACGAAATGTTATCAGAACAATTCTGGTTGGGACTGTTTTGTTTTATCACATCGGGCTTATATTCTATGAACATGGTTTTGTTCTTAGAACATGATGAGGTTCTAAGAACATTTCGTGGTAGGACTATAGGACTGCCGGGACGGTCGGTCCCTGCTCAACCCTTCCCCCCGCCGCAACTCCTCCCTTATCCTGGGTTCTGGCCGCGGACACATGTCTGTGCAGTGCGCTGGGGCCCTCGGCCTCGTCCTCTCCTCCACCCCCTCCTCCTCCTCCTCTTCCTCCTTCAATGTTCAACACGGGGTCCCCAGAGGTCCCGACCTTGTCCCCCAGACCGCTGTTTCATGCCGAAGCGTTTTTTCCGGTCCTGGGGCCCGCGAAGACCAACTGAGGCCCCACGTCTTGCTGTGCAGTGCACGTCCTCTCCTCCACCTCCCATTCAGTGGCCCTCGGCCCATCCCGCCGCCGTGCGTGTGTTGCGGGTCACGGTTCTCGGGGATGTGTCTTGGGGTCTCTTCGGAAGGTTCTCGGGGGCCTCTTGGGTGCAGTTTTGGGCTTCTTGGGCTGTTTTGGCGCACTTTTGGGCCGTCTGGGGCCTTCTTGGGGGCCTCTTGGGGCGATCTTGGAGGCCTTTTGGGCGGTCTGGGAACGTGGGGAAGCCGAAAAGGCGAGAAAGACAAAAACCTTCAAAAACCTAAAGAACACTCGATAGTTGTGGGCGGCCTTTTGGGGCGTCTTGGAGGCCTCTTGGGCCATCTGAGGGCCATCCTGAGCGTCCTGGAGCGATCGTTCGGCGACTCGGGGCCCACTTGGACAGTTTTACAGGTCTCTTGGGGTCCTCTTGGCCCGTCTTGGGGCCCTCTTGGCTCCGAACAGGCAAGAGAGAAGCCTCGCCAAGCCCCAGGAGATCTGGCAATTGGGGTTCCGGGCTCCGTCAAAACTCTTCACTAGTGGGGACTTAGGCTCACTGGATTGGGCAAAGGATCTGGGGACACGCTCACCCCGTGCCCAGCGGCACGGTGGCAGATCATGTTTCCTCATTGCTACACGTATGTATATGGACACACCCACTGCCACCAAGCCAGCCGATCGCAACCCAATCCCGATGGCCCCATCTTGTCTGATTCAAAGATCAGAGCCCGTGTTCTCGTCTCGACATGGACATTCTGCCGTCCACGTTGCAGAATGCGTGGCAGGAGTGGGACGGGGCGCGCACCCCGCGCGAGAGAAGCCGCCACGTCGCCCTCGCCTCGGCGCCGCGCGCCGATGGCTCTGGAGGACTGGGCTCCCGCTCGGGCTCCGCGCCCCCTCTCTCGCACCGCGCCGCGTCGTCGACGCGCGAGCGGGCGATAAAAATCGCGCTCTCGCCGCGGCGCCGCGCAGAGTTCGCCTGGAGGTGGCGCTCCCGCCTCGACGCGGCGCACTCTGCGGGGGGCCCCCTCTCGAGTGGGCGACGTCGTTGCCCTCGCCCGAGTGCCGTGCGCCCTTGGATCTCGGAGTGGCGTTCCAGGGCGGGCGCGGGCGCGGCGCAGAGCTCGTTCGCCGACGCGCCTGGAAGCGACAGCGGCAGGGCTCTTTTCGATTCCTCCGGTTCGATTCGATACGATTTCGGTGGCTTCCGATTCCGATTCGATTCGATTTGGGATTCCGGTTTGGGTTCCGATTTCTCACTGGAGGCAGACTGGCCTGCCGATTTCCGCCGATTCGGCGTTTCCAGACTCGGCCGCCGATTCCCGCCGATCCGATTCGTTCCGATCACCGATCCGACTTGTCGATTCGATTCTGGGCTCTCTTGCAGCGGCTACGGGGCCGCGCGAGAGCGGGCGAAATGCCGACCTCGCCCAAATGCTGGCAATGCTGTGTTGGCGCGGCGCATGCTTCGTCTTCGCCTCGCCGCGCTCGTCGGACGTTTTGCCGCTTCCTCCTCTGCGCGGCCAAGCCGTCGGAAGCGGGACCGCGCGCGAGCGTCTTCCGTCTGCGAGGTGGGAACGCGTTCCAATACCAATCTCAAGTTGTGCCCACATTGAGTTTTATGTTGCAGGAGGGAGGTTAGGAATAGGCGGGGCCCCCTGACTCGCACCACCTTGCTAGCCTGACTCCTACTCTTCCTCCTCCGCTCCTTCTTCCTCTAACTCCCCTCCCCTCCACCCACCTCCGCCTGCTCCCCACTATCCTCCTACCCCTTTCGTCCCCCTCCTCATCAGACCCTCGGGGCTCTGGCGGGAGAAATGCTTTCGATAATGAGTGTTCGCGCCCGATAAAAAAGGAACGCACTGACCGCTGCATTTCGTGTGACCCCAGTCTGTTTCGGGGATCCCGGCGGGCCAGGGGAAGGTAAGTCAGTCGGTCATTCCACCCCTTCTACTGATTCCCCCTCCGCCTCCTCCGTGGCGTGGATGGGGCTGCAGGGGGAAGATAATAGAGAGTGGGAGGTGGGAGTGGCGAGACCGCTTGTGTTTGTTTTGGGGGTCGCTTCGCATGGGGTCGTCTGAGAACGCAGCCGGCACCCTTGCACTTAGTGCTAGGGGTGCTCGGGGTGGCCGCCCCCGCCGAATCTTCACTGCCACCCCCGAGGTGGCGGGCCACGCCGAGGAGGGCAACAAGGTCCGCAGGCACAGGGATCTGCTGACCGACCTAGGCCGTGGCCAGTTCACCGTCGAGGAGGTCCAGCACACTTCAAGGAATCTGAAGCGGTATCGGTTAACCGATCCCCATCCCCATCTCCATCCCTTTCGAGACCCCCACCAAATTACCACCCCAGTTTGGGGATACACCCCTCGAAACCCGAAGAGAACGCCTTGTGACCCCATCTAGGGGGGTAAATCGGCCAGTGGGGCCCAGGCCACGCCGCTGGGGATGGGGGATCGGCTAAACAATACTCACTGAAAGCTTGGCCGCCATGTTTTTGCTGTCGTGCCAAATGGTCAAACGCGCGCTCGCCTGAGAGGTGCCCTCGTGGCCACAGTCGCACGAGGCTCAGACATCGGGAGTTCTTATAAAAGCCGAGTCCCACCCAAGGGCCGTTTGGGGTGCAAATCTTGAGCAGATATTATTTGAATGTTGATTGCGTATGTAGTGTGCTGCAGTCTGGCACATAACGAGGTCCATCGCTCCCGCACTCGTAGCGGGCATGCTGTCGCAGCGGCGTCGCACACATCACACGAAGCAATATTGTTGTAATGTCGATCGTACTGCAGTGGTGGATGCGCAACTCCCTGGGACCTCGTTGGCTTGGCATCGCTCGGACGTGTGCATTTTTCCTTCGGCGAGGACCATCGAGGAGCATCCTTGATCATCTGGCGAAACAAACACGCACGAAGCCGACACATGCACGGGAAATGGACGTCCGAGCGACGGCACGTTGGGGGGGCGCGTGAATCTGATTTTTTGGGTCTTGAGCAGCTAAGTGGTGGCGATGGTTGTTGCGGGCGGTTGGGGTCTTGAGCAACTACAGTGAGCGGCTTGCATAAGGAACGCTTACTTTTCAAAAGGGGCTCGGTCGTTCCTTAGGCTTGCATGCGTTATTTACAGTTCCTAATGCGTTATTTGTTATTCATCGTTCCTTATGCGTTATTCCTTGTGATAAAGAAAGGGGCTTCGTTCCTTATGTATCGTTCCTGAGGTCAGGCCGATGACTGTAAGTGGTGGCGACTGTTGCTGCGGGCTGTCGGGGTCAGCACCTCGGGCCCCCACAGCGGGGCCTCCTTCGGGGCCTCCCGCGGGGCTCCACGGGGGGGGCGTTCTCGACGTGCGCCCCGCTCCCGACCGTCAACATTCAGGAGGGGAGAAAAGCATACAGACACAATTCATCGTCGATTCCCCAGAAATGTAGGATAATATGGGAAGTGGGGGGGAAGACAAAAGCCTCAAACATATGCGAACATATGAGATTCTCTTTATTTGTGTGCATTCATTATTTGTGTGTCCTCGGGCCCCTTCAAATATCTCGGTTTGTACCGACAGCGACGGCGTTGATGCATGTCCGCGGCGTCTGGAAAACAATGGATCCAATGGATCGCACCCCCCCCGTCCGTCGCCGCCGACAACGCAATTCTGCCCTTACGTGGGGACACCGCCGCAAACTTCTTCGGGGGTCCGGAAAAGCAGGTAGAGCTGGCCGAGACAATTGCCTTGGATTTGCTTCTGAACAGCTTGTTGTCTCGTGCTTGATTATCTGGAACCACACACTGTGTAATTCGTTATCCACCCGAACGAACACGTGCCGCAAGGGTTTCCATCGGCCCTCTTGGGTTCTTCTGGGGGTGTAATACTGGGATCATGTGGGGGCTAGCTGGAAGGATCTTGGAACCCTCTTGGGGCCCACGTGGGGCTCTCTCGGGGCCATTTGGGAAACCTGGCGCGCCGATTCCCGCGTCGCCATCGGGGCCCAGAGAGCAACGCGCGCGCGCCAGACCACCTTGCAGGGGGGTGGGCCCTGGCCAGTTTGGGGACAGATTTTCGCCAGGTGGGCAAGGCCTTCCCTCTTCACAAGTGGGCTTTTTCTCGGACTGAACGTAGCCTCCGCATTCGGGCGGTAGCGATGATGGCGCCGGTCCAATGTCCTCGCGTCCGCCCTTTCAACGGGTCAGACCGCCAAACGCTAGGGGAGACCATGACATTTTCTCGAGAGCATCAGCGAGTGGGTGAGAGTGTGAAGAGGAAGAAGATGAGGATGAGAAGTGGAAAAACAACCTCGGATGTGTCACCCTGCCCAGAGGTCTTCGCTACGGAGACAGTAGTGCTCCGTGCTCTCTCCTACAACATATCGGTGCCGACGAGCCTGGACTTCGCGCAGGCGTTCTTGGCACCCCAGGGAAAAGAATTCGCGCATCCCCTTTCTCCCTTCCTGGACATCCAGCGCTTTGAACATCCAGGCGGCCGGCTTGTCATCATTTTGGGCTTGTGGAGGCGGGTTTCGGGCGCCGTGACAATCAGACAATTTTTTTTGCGATGAAAGCCAGCCGGGGGAAGTCCCCACTCCCTCCCTGCCAATCCCCTCTCTTCCCCTGGCACGAGCTTCCCTGTCACGCATGGATCGACAATGCATGCTCCGTAGGCTACACCTCAGGCGATGCTTAAGAAAACTTACATGTTCGGCCAGAGTCTCGATTGTTCTTAACGTTTCAATGTGAATCCTAAGATTTGAATAGGAATGTTGGGTTTTTTTATTCAAGTTCTGAGACTATGAATTTCTTAACCCATGATTTCTAAAGCATTTCGCAGGGTGTATCCCCGCGTCAGGTACCGTTCTCCACGCCGGGCCAGCCAGAGGGCCAGTCGCCAGTCACCTGCCTCGCCAAGTTCCTGCTGCAGCTCTCGCTGTCCGACCCGGCCCTGCAGTACAGGTGCCCTCGCGCGACCCGGGGCAGCTGGCGGCCGGCCCGACTAGTCAGATTTGATTTATGTCTACACCTTAGGCGATGCTCAAGAAGACCCAAGTTTTCGGCCAGAGTCTCGATTATTCTTAACGTTTCAATGTAAATCCCAAGATTTGAATAGACATTCTGGGTTTTTTATTCAAGTTCTGAGACTATGAATTTCTTAACCCATGATTTCTAAAGCATTTCGCAGGGTGTAGGGAAGAATTTTCGGGGTATCCAGGGTCCAGTTGCCTGCGGCAAGTCCCGCCATCGTACTACCCCAGCATTATGGGTGGCGATTGGTCGAAGGGGCGCTTGAGGCTGTCATTTGCGACACCTTGTATCTGCAGGTCTGGGGCTTGGGAAAATGATGATGATGATGAGGATAATGAGGAGGATTATGGGGACGATGACGATGTCGAGGTGGAGGACGCGGACGATGATGATGGGCCTTCTTGGGCCGTCTTGAGGCTCCTTGGGTCGTCGGGTGGCCCTTTTGGGGCCCTCGTGGCCGTCTGGGGAGTCTCTTGGGCCTGCCTTGAGGCCGCCTTGGGCCACAGGGGTCCTCTTTATGCCGTCTTGGGTCAATCCAGGGTCTCTCTTGGGCCAGCCTGTGGGGCATTCTACCACAACTCAACGCGCCAGGAGGCATGACGGCAGATGACGGGAAGCGCCTGAGGCGTGGGCCGTTCGTATTTGGTTGAATGACGGGAAACGTCTTGGAGGAACGAGAAGCGAGCCGGACGTTCTCGTTGAACAAATACTCACGTACATGTTGTTCGGGAATGCAAATCATCAAGCGTTGGCGGATGACAGGAGGTGCCTTCTCGGAACGAGAAGGTTTTGGGAGACTGTTAGACCATGTTGAGTAAGAAACGAATAGAGAATGAGACGCGAGGGACGACTGCTTCAGCAGTGCAACTTATTTCCGCTTGGCAAGTGACAGGAAGTGCTCTCTCGGAACGAGACGGTGTTGAGAATTTGTTGGGCTAAGTGTCCCCATGCGAAAGAAAGAACACACTCGCGAGGGACCGCGGGCTCGCTATCGCAACTGAGGTTTCGCTCGGTGGAGTCCCCTCAGAACGGCCGTTTCGCTTGACGCATCCTCGGACGAGTCAGATGTTGAAGGCGTCACGTTTGAGACCTTTTATTTTGAGAGTTAGGCTCTCGCTCGAGACATCCTCGAACAGATGAGATGTTGGGATCGCGCGTCCTTCGCTGACGTGGGCGGCGTCAAAGAGCCAGTGGGCACGGCGATGGGCCTCGCCCACCGACCTCGAGACGCGGTGGGTGGCCGCTACGACCTCGGCATGCCTGTGGTTTGGCATTGAGGGACACTCAGGGGGTCCGCGAAGTCGACCCTGGCCGCTGAGGGCTATGCGAAGCTGGAAGGCGCGGAAATCAACGCGCGGTTCCGTCGGCTGCTCGTCGAGGCCTGCAGACCCAAGAAACCGCTGAAGGAGATTGACGTGCTTAGCGTGAAGCTGCGCGGCGAGGTCTACAGCGACAGCGAGGGCTTCGTCACTCACATCCACTTCGACGCGGGCCAGTCCTCGGACAAGCGGTTCAGCATCATCGCCTCCATGATCAAGGAGCCTTTGCACTCGAACATCGCGTTGCGCCTCATTTGGGCCCCGACCTGGGCCATGGCCACGGACGCGTTCACCATTGCGGTAGGGACAAGGGTGTTGCTCTAGTTTTTGTGGTTCCGCAAGGACAGTTACGGGACGCGGCAGCTGCATGTTGCCATGCTTGCGTCTGTGTTGATGACTTGCACTGGCTGTGTCAACGGCCAGCCGGCGCCAACGACGCCGACTGCCGACTCAAGCTGTTGGTGGTATCTCCAGGGTTTGGCCCCTGATCAAACTAACGGTTGGCATCCTCACCGGCATAGGCGTGCTCGCCGCCGTCATCCATCATCTGCGCACCAGCTGCCGCCCGCCGCATTGCCCGAGCACCCCGAAATCTGTGCGCGAGGACAAGTGCCAGGATTGTGGGCGTGATGGCCACTACCCTCGCCGGGATGGAAGGCGCCAGGGCGGAGCCAACCACCCTGAGGCCGCAGCCTCGTTTTCGGCGACGGGGCCACAGAGCAGGGCGACGCAAAGCTCGGTGCCAGAAGACCACGGCATGACGGCAGCGTCGTCGACAACAGCAGCGTCCAGCATGGCATGCGCCGACATTTCCAGCATCGGCAGTGCCTTCGACACCGACTACAGCATCGAGAGCCCCATCAGCTTCGATTGTGACCTGGAACGGCTTGGCCCTTACAGCGCGCGTGGACGAGATCGACGCGCGCGCCATTGACGACCGCAACATCAAGGTCGGCCGCAACCACCGCAACGTACACGTTACCCGCCGTGCATGCCAGAAGCCCGCCGCCTGGGCCAGGCGGAGCGGCAGGGTAGATTCCAGCAGTTGTCTTTAAGCTCTGCGCTTTGGTGCCGAGAGCAGGTGGAGAATCATCAATAGCCTGCCGAATTGCAGGGCCTGACACGTAGCTGAGCTTGCAGGCCAACACGAGCCGCGATCGCCAGCGAATGTGAGTCCAGTTTTGCTGCGTCAACACATTGTCGGCAGGTCTACACGTATATCTGCATAGGCAGCCACAGCGCTGACGATTATGTTTTTGCAGCTGCCACTCAGAGATGGCGACGATCACCTTCCATTTTTCATTTATGCATCGCACGCGGTGTGCTGACCGTTGAGGAAACCCTGCAGGTGTGCAAAGCTCACCCACCGAAGTGCCTTGTGGGCTGCCTACATGCATGCCCCGTGAGCCGATGGCCCGCTTCGGTGCCAGCGTTCTGGCCCCTGCCTAACGCGGCGACAGCCAGACCGATATGCCCGGCCGCTCTCGGCGCCTGTAGCGCCTGACGGTTCGAGCGCCGTTTGCAGGAGGAGTTTGCTAGTGGCTCGCTCATTCGCCACCTCGTGCGCTCACTCGAATGCTGCTAGCGCTGCTCAGCTGTCGCTTTTGCGCGCACATATCGACGCGCGGGTTCAACGACTTCCAGACCGCCTTGACGCGGCCGGCCAGACCACAGGAGCACGGCAGACCAGCGCGGGGGAACTGCGAACCAGCACAACATGCCGCAGGATTACGGCAGACCACCACGGCAGGCAACATAATCGCGGCAGAACTGCAGGGCAGATCAAAGCAGCGCAGAAGACCCTCGCGGCAGACCGCAGCAGCGTGGCCGAATTGCACGGCGGACCACAGGAGTACGGCAGACCAGCACGGCCGACCACAGGAGCGCGGCTCCGTTGCCATCCCTGCTCGAGCATTTGTGGCCCACTTGAGCTTGGGTCGGCCGCGGCGTCGCCCCCGCGCGGGCGGGCCTTGGTCGTCATGTCCGGCGGCCTGCAGCTCTTGGCGCGGGCGGTCCTCGGCGCGGTGCCCTGCCGCTTGCAGGTGGGTCTTTTTTAGGGGGCGCGCCGCGGGCGACCGTCGCGCGCAGCGGCCGCGCGCGGCGTCAGCCTGCCAGCGAAGGAGGCGCGCCGCCGCCCGCCGCGTCGCCCGTGAGACGGTCTTCGTTCCATGGGGGTCCTGCCGCGCGAGGCCCAGGCGCGCGCGCGCGTCGCGGCGAAGCCTAACTTGTCGAAGGCGAAGGCTCTTCTTCGCGAGCGCGGCGCGGGCGCGCTTGCCTCGCGGCCCGGGGAGATCTCGACGGCGCGCGGCGCGGCGGGGCGCGCCGACTCGTCGCTGCGCCAGGGCGCCCACGAGGCGCTCGCGGGGCCCCCGAACGCCCGCGAGAAGAATTCGTAGTTGCACGGCGAGGGGAAGTGCGACATCTTCCAAAGTGGAGGCGGGGGAGGTGGAGCTGGGGCCCCAGGAGGCAGTTCGGCGACATCCCGGCACTCCCGCTACTGGTCGACAGCGGGGCAGGCAGGCGCGGATGGGGCCACGGTCGGAGGGCGGCGCCGCGGTCGAAGATGGGCCCCCCGACGGGGTCCGAGAGGCCATCGCTGACATCGAGGACATCGCCATGACGCCGCGGGCGGGCGTCCTAGGCATCGCTGGCGCCGGGGCGCCGCTCGTGGACGGCGGCCAAGCGGGGCCGCGCATGGAGTTGCGCGCGGCCACGCCCGGGGTCTTCGCGCGCGCAGGAGGCGCGTTGCGGGGGAAAGGCCCCGCAGGCCCGGGGTCCGCGGGCAAGCGTGGCACCGCGTCGAGACGGTCTGCGAGGTGCCCAGCGCTCACGCGCACGAGGGGCACCGCGGGGCGCGCGCCGACGGAGAGGAGACTCGGCACTTCGCGGACCAGGTCGCGGAGGCGGCCGAGGTCCACGTCCAGGAGGCGCTCTGCGTGGAAAGTCAAGGAGGCGCCCATGGCCTCCAATTTGAAGGATCTTGAAGGTGCCTGAGGGCCCAGTGCTGGAGGTGGGTGCACCGCGTAGAGATGCCCCTCGCGCTGCCGACGCCCACGTGCAAAACCAGCAACGCGGGGATGGGCCGGTGGTCCCCGAGGTCCACGCGCGGGCGCGCGACCCGAAGAAGGTGGCCGACGGCGCCGAGGAAGCCGGGCACTGCGCGGAGAAGGTCCGGCTTGCGCGGGGAAGGCTCGGCGGCGCCCGGGAGTCGCGCGGCCAGGGCGCGGGCGGGGGGCGGAGGGGCGACGGGGGCCTTCTCGACGGCGCGGACGGCACCGAGTGGCAAAGTAAGCATGCGCAGCAGGAGGGGCACGGGCGCGGGCGCAGCGCCCGGCGCCGCGACCCATTTCCCGAGCATCGCCCCCGGGGGCGAGTTGTTCCGTCGCCGAGGCGGCCAGCCACTTCCGCGACACTCTTCAGCGGGGCATCGGCGGGCCTCTAAGGTCAAGCGGCGCGCTTTTCCCAGGCGTCAGCCTCGGGTCCGACCGCCGGCCCGACGCTCTGAGGAAGCTCGGGCACGGGGGCTCCCCGTGAACATCTTCCGAGGCTCTTGGCAAGATGTTACTGGGGCGCCCGTTGGTAGGGTAACGATTTATACACATATGTTGGACGGTGGCATTCCTGGGCCGTCATCGGGATCCGTGCGCCGCGTTAAGCAGAGCGTCCCGAAAGCTTCTCAGCGGTGCCGAGCTTCCGTCTGGGGTCCTTGGCCTCTCAGACGCTGAGCTGTCTCGTTTGCGTTCAGGCAACGCCGCCAATCAATGCAGGAATTGAGCTTGTGCAGGCCGCCGCCGGAGTTGATTGTCCAGAATCTCTTGAGAATCCGCGAGTTTCCCAGATCTGGTCGATGCCGCCCATGGTCCAGTTGGCCAATCATCCCAGCCACATGCATGGAACAGCCTTTACAATACGGTACCACAGGGAATAATGCTCCGTCGATTGTCTCCTGGAGTGCCCTTGTCGCGCCCGCCTTGAATAAGCGCCTCCATACTTGTAGTTTCAAGCGCTCACGTACCAACATGCCCCATATCGTGTTGCTTGGCTGCGGGTATAGCAGAATCCCTTCGCACCTGCTTAGGCTCAGGCGAATTGCTGCGCTCGTCCGTGGTTGGGGGACCTTGTCCGACCCTGCAAAATCGTGGGGCCGAGTCGGTTTGAGGCCTGATGGGCGTGAGCGGCATGGCGGCCAGTGCGGCTCTCCGGATCTGGAGCTTGTTTATCAACTGTTCGTCTCGCTCGCCCGGTGCTGGCCCGCACTGCGTTTGCGCGGGCCCCTGCAAGCATTTCCCCAGCGCCTGCTGCTCCACCTGCCTTCGCAACATACATGGCTTGGCCGTGGGGAGTCCTAAGATGGGGTGTTGTGAAGTTTCCAGCACGGGAAGCAACGAGCGAGACCGGCGCAGCTGCGCAGCATCCGCCGCCGTCCCCGCTCAAGCTCCCACCACCGACCCTTGTCCCTTACATCTTATTTGAGTATCGAAGAACCGACCCCCATCCCCAGCGGCGTGGCCTGGGCCCCACTGGCCGAACTGCCTCCCCAGATGGGGATACAGTGGAGTAGAATTCGCCCAGTGCTGGCCCTCACTGCGCAGACGCTGGCCCCTGCAAGCACGTCTGCTGGTGCCCGGTGCCTCACTGACCTTCACGAAATAAGTACATCATGTGGCCGCGGGGGGTCAAAAAGGTTTTTCCCGCCTCTTCCTCCTTTTCCTCCGCTTCGTCCCTCCTCGTACTTTTTTTCCTCCAGTTATTCCTCCTCGTCCAGGCACTCGCTTCTTTCTGTCCGTTGTCCTTTTGCTGCCCGCGTTGCCCGCCCCGTCATCCACGCTCCCGTAATCCGCCGCCTTGTCGCCGCCACCATCCTTCCTGTCCTCCCCCCCACGAGCCCAATAGAGAAAATCTCCGCTTCCCGTTTTTGTCCGAATCTAGTTCCTGAAATAACGATCGTTTCGCTCGGGACGTTTTCCAGGAGGGGAAACACACAAACACAATTAGTCGTCGATTCCCCCGAAAATATAAGAAAATATGGGAAGTGGGGGGAGACAAAAACCCAGAAAACATTGGAACATATGGAGAATCCTGTTATTTGTGTGTGTATTTATTTGTGTGTCCCAGGGCCCCTTCGCTCTTCACAAAAAGGCTTCGGATAGGAGCTCCGAGTGACCGACATCGTCCTGGCATCGCTGTGGGGGGGGGGCCCGCCGTGGCCCACTTGAGCCCCAAAAGGCCCCTCACAGCAGACCCAAAGGGGCCCGGAGAGATCCACAGTAGGGGGCCAGTCGACTAGACGTAAGAGTGACCTTAACGCCGGAGTGACCTTCGGTGTGGGCACAGATGGGTCCCCAGATTGCTGAAAACGAAGCAGGAGCAACGGCTTGCGCGCCCAGGTTTGATCCCCACGCGGCCCCCAAAAAGCCGCGCACCAAAGGTCACTCTTACCCAGGGTCACTCTTGCGTGTAGCCGAGCCAGATGCGAACCCTACCCCTACCCCCGACGATTTCTGATGAGGAGGGTGGGGTTCACTTCGCACGGAAGGTCCCGAACGAAGTGAACCCCATCCTCCCCTTCAGAAATCGTGGGGGGTAGGGGTAGGGTTCGTTTCTGGCCCCCTACCCAGGAGGCCCCCTGGACGGCCCAAGACAATCCAAGATGGCGCCAAGATGGATTGAGAGAGCCCCTGCAGAACCCCAAGACACGCCGGATAACCCAAGAAGACCCTGGCAGCCCCCCAGAGAGGGCCCCGACCTGCCTCCAGGATGCCCCGAGATAGCCCCGGACGGCCCCAACAACCCCCACGGGAACTTCGAATGATCACGAGGGGCCCCCTTTTCTTCGACGTATTTGTCCTCGGGTTCCTTATCGTCCTCCGTCGTCGTCGTCGCCCCCTCCTCCTCCGCTTGGTTCCTCCTCGTGCACATCCTCCTCCATCTCTTCCTCCTCGCCCTCGTGCTCGTGTCCTACCAGCTGTCCTCCTGCCCACGTCGCCGCCCGCCCCGTCGTCCGCGCGGTCCTCCTCGCCACCCGCCGCCCCGCCGTCGCCCCGCCGTCGCCGCCCTCGCCACGAGCCCCCCACGGACAGACTCGGCGCTCCCCGCCCCTGCGCCCTTGCCCGAGCAGGCCTCGACCGGGGCCAGGGCCCCCGGCCGCCCGCGGGGCTCCGGGGGTGGGTGGGTGTGCGGTGCGGCCCCGGAGAGGAGAGCGCCCGCGGGGTTCGGGGGCGGAAGAGAGGGGGGTGATGACTAGGGGTGGGTGGATGTGGATATCATGGCGGGGGCCATGGTATTCCCCCAGACTTCATGGCGCCTCTTCTTGTGTCATGACGGCCCTGGCCCCCCCGCTGGGCCGCGCACATGCCGCCGGTCATGAGTTGCACCCCCCCCTCTTGGACACACCCCTCATTGGCCGCTCCCAGGGGTGGGCCCGAGGTGCGGCCCCGGAGAGGAGAGAGCCCGCGGGGTGCCGACCGCCCGTCTGCGGGCGCGCGTGTGATTCGCCGGGGGCCGCTCTCGCTCCCCCGCGGCCGTGCAAGATTCGGGGGTGGACAGACCTCCTACCCTGACACGTCGACTGGCGAATTGGCCGTTTTCGGTTCGCGAGAGGGCGTCGCGGCCGTCATTTTTGCGGGTCCAGGTCCGTCGGTTTTGGTCCCAGGCCGTTTTCACTAAGGGGAGGTTTACTAAAGGGAGGTTTGTCCACCGGCGAAAGGTGGACAAGCTGGGGAACGGACGAGGGCGGGCGCGCGGAACTTCGTCGTTGCGTTCGGGTTTTGGCTCTGGCCTTGCAAGGGTGGACACGTGACCACTGAGGGCGGGGTGGGTGAGGGCGGTGATGAGGGTCGAGAGGCATGCGAGGGGGGCCTTGTCCGCCGTGCGGCTTGCGGTAGCGCGGTAGCCAGGAGATCCTTCCCTCGCTTTGGGGGATGATCCAGTTCCGCGAAGGACGTTGTAGAATTGTCGCCCTGCGTTAGGTACCCTCAGGCTATCCTGGCGGCCGGCGCCGTCTACGTGGCCCTTTGGTGCACCAAGGCGCAGCCCACCCGCGTGGCTGGACTCCTTGGCGACCTGGGTGCCGCCATGGGCCTTCCGCTCAGCATGCACGCCGGCCGTTGAAAGTAGGTATTTCTGGATTCCCGGAACCCAATATACTTCGGCCACATTCCTATTTCAAGAGTCGAATGTTGTCCCTCTTCCCTTTTCTTCAGGGGGCGGGCAGAAGGCCAATCTACTTCAACGCCTTCCTACTTCATGTTTCTAGCCACTTCTTCCGACCGACGGGTACTGCTTTTGGTGTTACGCCCCCGTCCTCCCTCTCACCTCCCGCCACCACCCTCTCTCAGCCACATGACCCATACCCAGACTTTTCCGCACTCAGATTCACGCATTATCAGACTCGCTCATTCTCAGAGCGGCTCATAATGCGACTCTCTATTCATAAGCAATCGTATTCTAATATCTCGAATTCGGACTGGCTCATCTTGCTCATGCTCAAATTTGTTCATTCTTCTAGACCCGCCCATTCTCATACGAACAAAGGCACAGACTCACTCGCAGCCACACTGGAATTCGAATGACTCCTGTGCAGACTCGCTCACACGCAGACTCACTCGCACTGCCACTTCCTTGTGCTCAGACTCTCTCACATCCACACTCACGCAAGTTCTGGCTCTCTCATACACGGACTCGCGCATGCCCAGCTCCTCCCATGTCCCTGACTATCGCGTTGCAGCAGGCGCTCCATCTTGGCCCCCGAGGGGGTGTCAACCTGGAGTATTCCGCGGTCCCGCTCGTGCCCAGATCGTCGGGACCTCCCAAGCAGTATCGCATCGGTTGTCCCCCGTACTCTGAGAACGGCACTTTCCGCCTCCGGCACTTTCCGCCTCCGGCACCTTGGCTGGCGATTGAGCGGGGGGCGCACAGGGGGCCGTAACCTTTGACACATCGTGTCATGAGGCTTGGGATAGCCGTATCACGTGACAGATTCTTCCGCGTCGTGTCGGGGGCCCTCTTATCGTTCGCGTCGCCTTTCATTCACACGCTCAGGATCTCTCGCACTCAGACCCACTCCTGTGCAGGCTCACTCACATTCAGGTTGTCGTATACACACTCACGCCTGCGCAACGTCAGTCATGCGCCCACCGCCGCTCGCCCTCAGACATATCTCTCATCCAGTCGCGCTCAGTGTCAGACTCGCTCACGCTGAGACGCTCGCAGAGGCGTCCCCGACTACCCACACCGGACCTGGCCATGCAAAGGATGGGCCTGGCCAGGATCGGTGCAGGCGCATGGCTGCCCTCCTGCGATGCCGGCGTTGACTGCGGGAGGCTCACTCTGGGCGTGCCCGCCCGCTTCCGGTGCTGGTCTTGCCTTCAGGAAGCTCGCTCCGCGTGTGCCAGGTTGCATCGGGGGTGGACAGAACCCCCAACAGTGACACGTCGATTAGTGGATTGTCCGTTTTCGGTTCTCGAGAGGACGCCGCGGCCGTCATTTTCCAGGCTTGCGCCCGCCAGGTTTGGGCCTCAGGTCGTTTTCACTAAACCACGTTTTACTAAAGGGGGGTCTGTCCATCCCCGATTGCAGCTGGCGCACGTAGCGCTGCCAGCGTTGTCGGCAGGAACTGCCAGCCGTGTTGCCGGGAAGCCGACTCCGAGTGTGCAGGCTGGATCTGTGGCGCACATCGTTTTGGCTTTGTTGTTGGCCTGAGACTCGGCAGGGATTTCATTCCAAGTACTCCAGATTTCGTAATAAAAGGGAGGGGGTCTCATTTCGGGGGGGGTCTCTTCCAGGCTATCTTGGAGGGCCTGGGGGGGTCTGGGGACGATGTTTTGGAGGGTTCTCCCACGGGGGAGGTCTGAAATGGCTTGTCTTGGAGGGTCCAGACCCCCTCCCTTTTATTACGAAATCTGGAGTAGGGTCAGATCAAGTCATGCTCGGAGCCGTTGTCCATGTCCACTGGCCACATCCAAGCACATGTAGGTCAGAGTGAGGGGACCGAACGGTCATTCACTGTCCCTGGGTGCATGGCTGAAGTGGGATTCCGCGATGCGTATTCTTGTTGTTGTTGTTGTTGTCGTCGTCGTCGTCGTCGTCGTCGTCGTCGTCGTCGTTGTTGTTGTTGTTGTTGTTGTTGTTGTTGTTGTTGTTGTTGTTGTTGTTGTTGTTGTTGTTGTTTTTGCTGTTGTTGTTGTTGAACTTTCATTTCTGAATAATAATTATTGTTGATCCCCCCGGTGCAAACTTTATATTTTTGATTGAGGTGCGCCTCTCAGGGCTCACATCCGATTTTTTATCAGGGAAAGTCTTGAGGCTCAAACTATGTCGTCGGCCCCCGGTTTACAACAACAACGGCTCCCGCTTGATATCCCCTCGCAATTTATTGGAGAATCGAGCTCTCGCTTGGGACTTCCTGGCAATTTACCACCGAATCTCGGCTCCCGCTTAATACTTCTTGACAATTGATTGGAGAGAGCGTGATCCACCGCCGCTTTACTGTGGAAAATTGCCGCCCTTTTCCTCCGGAACCCGGGGGTCCCTCCCCCCTCCGAAAATCCCCCCCCCCTGGCTGGAACCCCTCCCCCCCCCCCCTTCCCCCAGCAAAACCCCCCCCCCTCCCCTAACCGCCCCCCCCCCCCCTCGAGCTCGAAAACCGGGGGGGGTCACTACCGGTTCGAACCCCTCCCCCCCCCCCCCCCCTCGAAAACCGGAGAGTGGGGTCACTACCGGTTCGAACCTTTGAGCTGTCCCATTGTTCCCACCACTGTCCCCACTGTCCCTACCACTGTCCCCACTGTACCTCTTTCCCATTGTCCCACCGCCGTCCTCGCCACCGCCTTCACCACTGTCCCCACCACCACTGTACCCTCCACTGTCCTACTGTTTCCACCACATTCCCACTGTCCCCACACCACTGTCCCCACCACCACCGTCCCCACCACTGTCCCACTGTCCCCACTGTTCCCACCATTGTCCTCACCATTGTCCCCACCACTACCGTCCCACCCCACCACTGTCCCGCTGTCCCCTCACCACTGTCCCCACCACCACCGTCCCCACCACTGTCCGCACTCCCCCTCGGTTTTCGAGGGGGGGGGGCGGGGGGGGGTCGAACCGGTAGTGACCCCCCCGGTTTTCGAGCTCGAGGGGGGGGGGGGGGGGGGGGGGAGGGGTTCGAACCGGTAGTGACCCCCCCCCGGTTTTCCGGAGGGGGGTGGGGGGGTGGAGGGGTTCGAACCGGTAGTGACCCCCCCTCGTGACCCCCCTTCGGTTTTCCGCTAGCAGCGGTAGAACACGCTCTTTCATTGATTGCAGACTCGCGTTCTCACTTGGGACTTCCTCGCAATTTATCACCGAGCCGCTTCGCTTGATACTCCCTCACAATTTATTCAGATGCCGGTCCTCGACACTCAGGAATCGCGCTCCCGCTACACATTGCCTGGCGGTTCAAGCAGGACTCACGCTTCAACCACCCGCCCGCTCGACCCGCCCGTCGTGGCCTGCCCGCCCGACCAGCCCGTCAATGACTGCAGTCGCCGCTCGCTGCCCTTCGCACGCCTTCGATGCCCCTCGCTGCCCGTACTGGTTCCGCGGTCGCCTTCGCTCGCTGCCCTTCGTGGCTCCGTTGCTGCCCTCAGTGGCTCCGTCGGTGCCCTGTGTGGCCCCGCATTATATGCCCTTCGTGGCCCCCGCTCGCACGCGCCCGTCGTGGCCCCACACGCATGCCCTTAGTAGCCCCCCCTGTCGCCCTTCGTGACCCCTTTGCTGCCCTCAGTGGCCCCGTATACGAATGCTCTTCGTGGCCCCCGCTCGCTCGCGCCCGTCGCGGCCCCATATGCATGCTCTTCGTGGCCCCGGTGTCGCCTTTTGTGGCCCCCTTGCTGCCCTTCGTGGCCCTGGTGCTGCCCTCAGCGGCCCCGTCGCTGCCTTGTGTGGCCTCGGATTTTATGCCCTTCGTGGCCCACGCTGGCATTTGTCACGATTGACTTAGGAATCGCGCTATTGCTCGAGACTTCCTTGCGATTCACGCAGGACCCACGCTTCAGCAACCCGCCTGCTCGACCTCGTCGCCTGGGCCCACCTTTCCGACCTGCCCGGTATGGGTCTGCCCACCCGATCTGCCCGTCTGGTTCTACCACTCGTTTTCTGCTCCTTGCCCCCCTCCTGCTAATTTTTGTCGTGCTCCATGATTTTTCCTCCCGCTTCCACCCGTCCTCTCATCCCTTGTTCTAGGGGCTGCACTAAATACATGTGGCAGGTTAGGGAAGATATATCCCCGAGGGGTGCGATCGAAGACGACGAGGGCGGGTACTGAGGGCTTGGGATACACTTATGGATTAGCACGTGAGCAGATACAAGCGAACAGTCTTAAACTGATTGTTGTTGTTGGTGTTGTTGTTGTTGTCGTTGTGGTTGTGGTTTGGTTATGGTTGTTGTTTGTGTGTTTGTTTTTGGGTGTTTGGTTGTGTGTTTGTTTGCTTGGTTTGTGTTGCTGCTGCTGCTGCTGCTGCTGCTGTTGTTGTTGTTGTTGTTGTTGTTGTTGTTGTTGTTGGATTCTCCTTTCTGCAGAGTAATTATAGTTGATCCCCCCTCACCGGTGCATATTCTTTTTTCTCAATCGAAGTGTGCCCCTCGACGCTCGCACCCGGTTTCCTTACACGGAAAGTCTTCTTGCTCAAATTGGGCATTTGGCCCCCCGGATTACAACAACAACGGCTCCCGCCTGAGACTTCCTCACAATTTACTCAGGATCGGTGTGCCCGCTTGTGACTACCTCGCAATTTTGTCAGGACCCCCGCTCCCATCTGAGACTTCCTCACAATTTACTCAGGAAGGGCGCTCCCGCTTGAGATTTCCTCGCAATTGAGTCAAGTCTTGCAATTTGATCAAGACCCCCGCTCCCCGCCAGAGAACCCCTCAAATGTTATTCAGGAATTGCGCTCTCGCCTGCGACTTTCATGCGATTTATTCAGAAATCGCGCTTTCGACGCTCAGGGAACCCGCTGCGCGAAGGACGCCATTACAATTTACTTGGTAATCGCGTTCTCGCCACGCTCAGGCATCCCGCTTGAATGTCCCACTTGCGCGATCCGCCCGACAGGAGATCGCCCGCTTGTCGTCGGCTCCCGCCCGAAACTTCCTTCAGGAACGGCGCTTTCGCTTTGGACTTCCTCGAACGTTCACGCTCTTACCTTCCTGCTCCTCCTCCTTCTCCCTCCTCCCTCCTCCCTCCTCTCCTCCTTTCTCTCTCCGTCCTCTCTTCCCTCATTATCATGCCTCTCTGCCCTATCCCATATCCCTCCTCTCCCCTTCCCTTCTCCCTCCCCTCTCCTGCCTCATCCCTCCCTCTGTCTTTCTCTCTCTCTCTCTTCCCCCTTTTTTTCTCTCTCTCTCTCTCTCTCTTTCTCTACCTCTCTTATCTCTCTCTCTCTCTCTCTCTCTTTGTTTCTCTCTCTCTCTCTCTCTTTCTGCTTCTAATCAACCGCCCCCTCTTCGTGCCTTCTCTCTTGGCGCTTTCCATATTCATTCGTCCCTTCCCCTCCCTTCCTCCCACTCTCCCTCGTTCTCCCCCTCCTCTTTTTGCAGGGCCCACACCAATTCCAATGGTGGGCGCATGTACGCCCACGAAGGATTGTCCGCCCGTTCAGGTTTGCCCGCGTGTCTAAGCCCGCCGCCCCCCGCAAAGAGAAAGAATCCCCCCAAAGGGGGTGTGATCGAAGACAGGAAGAGCGGGTATCGAGGATGTGGGGACTTCGTTTTGAATGACACGCGGGCAAGTAAGAGCGAACAGTCTCAGAATTATTGTTTTTGTTGTTGTCGTCGTCGTCGTTGTTGTTGTTGTTCTTGTTGCTGTTGTTGTTGTTGCTGTTGTTGTTGTTTGGCGTCGTCCCACCCGCGACCCGACCCGCGACCCGCCCGCGACCCACCCGCGACCCGCCCCGCGACCTTCCGGCGACTCACCCGCGACCCACCCACGACCCGCCCGCGACCCACCCGTGACCCACCCGCGACCCGCCCCACGACACGCTCGCGACCCACCCGCGACCCACCCGCGAGCAGCCCTCGACCTGCCCCGCGACCCATCCACGTTGCTTCAACATAAAAAAATTAAAAAAACGCGTTGTATAATATGAAACTAGGCGCCTGCGGCTGGCTTCTTGCAGCCTTGCAGACTGCCGACGCCCCCCTCCGCCCTCTCACTCTTATCTTCGACTGCGGGGTGCTACGTATTTTTTGCCCGCCTTATCGGGGTAGTCAGCCTCCGTTGAAACTGACAATTTCCATAATCGCTTGTCTGCGTCCGTGGAGCGCTGACCCGTCGTGCATTTCATTGTTTCTCGCCCCGTTCCCTGCGGGGTGGTCCCCTTTTTGGAGCCAGTTTCTGGAAAGTTCTGTCAGTATCGAGGGTGAAACTACTGCACCTACAAACCGGCCATCCGCAAGAGGGGGTATGGGGTAGGTGGAAAGGATTCTTAGACGGGAGTTGGTTCTCAGAAGGCGCGGGCCTTATCGAAAGATGTAAGGCTGGCGCCTTCTAAAAAGCAGCCTCTTTCCAAGATGCCTTCACTCCTTCCCTTACCCCTCTGTGCGCGCGGCCATCAACACCTGGAGGCGGAGGGGGGCTGCGGGAGAAGGCGCTGGGCACGAAGTTGGTCCTGGCCAGCCAGCAAATTCGCTGGGTCGGCTCAGGTACCAACGCTGTGGGCCCCCATCCGGCCCAAGATGGCCCCAACCGCAACCCCACTTAAGCTTGCCCGAACCACCAGAGGGCGTGAGCTGTGCCTTCAGGTCACCGTTGGCCCCCAGCGTCTGCATGGAGACCGGCGTGCCCTCGGCCGGACTGCTCCCAGGGAGCGGCGGCGCGGTCATTGTGTCAGGTTTTCCAGGGGCCTCCACGTCGCCAGAGCCTGCTTGCTTCTGGTGCTGGGCACTGCGCAGCTGGCGCGCGGGGCTGCCGCTGTTGTTGGAAGCCGCGCTGCCCGCCTTCCTTCCTCGTCGCCGCCGTGTTCGTCCGACCTCGTCCCCCCTTTTCCTTCTGCGCCTTTGTCCTCCAAGCCGCGTGTCGTGGCTCTGGGATTGCTCGAGGCTCGCGACGCGCGCGTGCGTCAGGGGATGGTGGCACGAAAGTAACCGCACTACACCTGTACTTCCCCACCGGAGAGGGTACGTGTCCGTGAGCAGAGCAGACAGGGCCCAAATGTTCGCCCCGATGCTAATGAGTGAACGCTTCATGCTTCGCGCATCCTGACTCGCCTAGTAGTGCGCTAATTTAGGCCGTTGCATCTCCCTTGGAGGACCTGTCTCGCCGCGGTCGCGATCAAAAAATATTCTCACTGGCCCTTTTCGGAAACCTTGTTCATGAGAGATGACGGGAAAATGGACGAAGTGACCAACAAAGTGAAACAAAGCGGGCAACAAGGACGACCAGAGAGATTTTTGGTAGCCAGGGGGGGGCCTTGGGGGACCTCTTCGGGTCATCCCTGGGGCCCGCGGGGGGGCGAGGGGAGGAGGAGGAGGAGGAGGAGGAGGAGGCGGAAGAGGAGGAGGAGGAGAAAGCAAACCGCCTCTTGGGGCCCTCCTGGGACGCTCTTGGGGCTCTCTTGGGCGCTCTTGGGGCCATTTGGGTGCCCTCTTGGGGCCCTCTCTTGGGAGCCTTGGAGGACCTGTTGAGGCCATCGTGGGGGAAGGGGGGGGGCCTAAATTGCCCCCCACACACACACACACACACACACACACACACACACACACACACACACACACACACACACACACACACACACACACACACACACACACACACACACACACACACACACACACACACACACACACACACACACACACACACACACACACACACACACACACACACACACACACACACACACACACACACACACACACACACACACACACACACACACACACACACACACACACACACACACACACACACACACACACACACGCACACACACACACACAAACAAACACCCTCTTTAGGGCCATCAACATCGCCTCTTGGGGCGCTCTTGGGCCGATTGGGGGTCGATCTTGGGGTTGTTTGCGGGGCCGTTTTGGGGGGCCTTCTGGGCCCCTCGGTGGGCTCTCTTGCGGTCATCTTGGGGCTTGAGTCCTCAAACGCATATCGCAAGCGAACAGGCGAGAAAACGCAACTCATCGATTTCCATTAGGTGTTTGAAAGATGTTGGTCTCTTCGGGGGGGCCTCAGGGGGCTCCGAGAGCACCTGGAGCGGTCTTGTGGCCCTCGTGTGGCCTCTGTGAGGTATGTCGGCAGCTATCTTGAACCATCTTCCGTTTTCTTGAGCCGTTATGGAGGCTATCTTGGAGCAGCGGAAGCACTCTAGGAGCTACCGTGGGCGAAATAGGACCCTCCGACACATCGCGGCCCCCGCGGAACAACTTTCGGGAGGTGAGAGATAGGGTACTCCTCCCTGAAGGAAGAGGGGGAAGAGGGTTTTGAAAGAGGAGAGGATGAACTCGTCAGACCACCTACGCCCACAGGGCTGGTGGGATTGTGTCGGCGAACGGCGTTGAAGCTCGCGAGGCTCAAGGAGTGGAACAACAGTTATTTGAGCGCGACTCGTAGGGATCTCACCCTCTTTCGTTTGTTGTCCACCTCCGCTTTCCACGTAATCCTGATCGTCGTTCATTTGTCCTCCGACCTCCCGCGCGTATTCCCCCTCTCCTCTCATCTCCTTGTTCCCCATTCTCGCCCTCTTCATCGTCTTCGTTCTCGTCCTCGCCCTCCTTCTCCTGATCCCCTTGCCCGTCCACAGGCCCCCCTTCCCCCGCCCCCCTCTCCCAACGAGTGCTGCTGCCCTCGCACTCTTCCTCCTCAGCACCTGGCATCGCTCGGACGTGTGCATTTTTTTCTCGGCGAGGACCATCGAGGAGCATCCTTGATCATTTGGCGAAACAGCCACGCACGAAACCGAACAAAAACACAGGGAATGGACGTCCGAGCGACGGCGAGAGCACTTTCCCTTGCCCCCTTCATGCCCCCCACGGCTGCCCACGAGCCGATTCGATGCGGCTCGCCGGCACCGGCCAGGGCCAGCTGGAAGCGGGGCGCGGCGACTCGGTACCGATCCGCTTCGGGGCGAGCCGCTGGCGGCTCTCGGCTCCGCTCTCGATCCGGCCCGACCTCGCGGTCCGATCCAGCGCAGACCTGCCCCCCCCTCAGCAGGAGAACAAACACACAGACACAGTTCATCGTCGATTCCACAGAAAATGTTGGAAACGAGGGGCAGTGGGGGGAAGACAGGAGCCCAGAAAATATAGGAAAATATGGGGAATCCTTTTATTTGAGTGTATTTATTAATCGCTTCGCTCATGCCGCCGGCCCTGGAGCCCTCTTTAGGGCCTCTTGGGGGCCTCTTGGGGACCTCTTGGGAGTCTCTTGGGGCTCCTTGGCGGCGTTTTGGAGGCCCCCAGGGCCTCTTGGGGGGCTCTTGGGGGTAGTCGATTGCGGCTCCCCCCTCGGAGGCCACGATCCTCGTGAGGGGTGTCGAAAAATACCCTCCCCTGGAGTGGTCTGGTGGCTTCTCCCGGGCTTCTCTCGGGACCTTGCCGGGGTACTTTTCGTCCGGGGGCCCCCAGGGGCCGCTCCGCGCGCGCGAACTAGAAATATTGTTAACAAGTTACCGGAGATCTTAGCACGCCTCTGGCCCGTTGGGCCGGCGAATTTGCGTGTCCCAGGGCCCCTTCACCTCCTCCCCTCCACGATTCCCCCTCCTCGCCTGCCCGACGCCGAGGCCACGCGGCGTAGCCGGCGCCGCACCCCGGGGGCGGAGCCGCGCGGCCTCTCCGAGCGGCGGCGGCGTCTGCACCGAGGGGGCGCCGGACCTCCGCGCGGCGCCGCGGGGGGGGCGCCCCGCCGGCGGCGGCGGCCGTGGGCGGCCAGTCCCGGCGAAGTCCTGCCCCGGGGGGGGAGGGGCGAGTCCATGGGCCTGCTCCTGCTCCTGCTCCTGCTCCTGCTCCTCCTCCTCCTCCTCCTCCTCCTCCTCCTCCTGCTCCTCCTCCGCCTCTTCTGCCTCCCTCCATCCCTCCCTTTTCCTTGCTTCCTCCCTTCCCCCCCCCCCCACCTCTCGTACCCCCTCCGCCCTTGTGGGCCAATGGCCCATGTGCCTGGCCTCCCGGTTCCAAACAAGGAATCAGAGGAGGAGGAGGAGGAGGAGGAGTAGGAGGAGGAGGAGGAGTAGGAGGAGGAGGAAAGAAGGTACCCATGCCGCCAGCCTTGCCTCGCTCTCCCCTTTTTTGGGGGTGGCCTCCTTAGAGGCCCTCGTCGCCACCGGTGAATGCGCCTGGAAATCCTGGTCCGAACGCACCCCAGGATCCGGCGGAGCCCATGGGACCTCTGGGCCTCCTGAGGGCTGCTCCGCAGTGGAGGCCATCTGCATGGACATCCCAAGCAGGAGTCACCTTGGGGGGTTCAGGGTCAACTCTGGCAACGCCCGACTTCACCCGGGCCAGCCATGCGTCCCTGGTAATCCCCTGGCGGCCAAGAACAGCCTGCAGAGGACCCCCAGAGGCCGAAGTCCGGAATGATCCAGGGAGTAGCGGTATCGGTACCCTTTAATTCCCCAGAGTAGCCAGTCCCCCGGGTAAGGGGATCATGTTGGTGATAGGGCCGTGGAGCTAAACCGATTGGACAGAATCGTCAAACCCGATCTGCCGTGGCTTGTGTGTCTTCGGGCGACGGGAGCTCCGTGCATTCGAAAAGGGCGGAGGAGGCGTCCCCCGGCACACATCATTGATCTAGGTCCTATCTAACCCAATGCGGGACTCAAATCGCCCCATCATTTCCGAAAGTGATCTTTCAAGCTTTTGTGGATCGCTCGGGTACCTCCCTTCGGCTTCGTATCTCTAGAGGCTGCTTTCCGGGGCGCCCCGGGGTAGGCGCACCAGTATTGCATGATATTCTAATGACCGCATTCCCGTGGTGGTGCAGAAGGATTGCGACTGATTCGGATCTCAATAGTTCGGTCCCATAGAATCTGCAAGACACCAGTGGGCTTTCGAAATGCCTCCAGGGGCATCTAGTGACACTCGCGCGCGGATCTCAAACCGTGCAGGTCACACGAGTTAGCAGGGGACACGACCAGACAAGCCTTCCATGATGGGCCTGTTTTCCACCACCACCGCCACCACCGTAGGTTGGAGGGGGGAAGGAGGTGGAGGAGGAGGAGGAGGAGGAGGAGGACGACGAAGAGGAGGAGGAGGAGGAGCCTCTCCCCCTCCAACTTATGGTGGTGGTGGTGGAAAATAGGCCCATCATTCCACCTTCCACCCTTACTTGGTGGGCGGCAAAGCTGTGTCACACCCATTCTCATGCTGCTCCTCCTCCTGGGCCCAGGAGGAGCCTAGATGCTCAAGTATCCGCGTCGACCCCAAAGAGGCTGCTGACCAGAACATGGCGCGCAGATCGAGAGCGTCGCGAGCTTTCCCCATCCTGCAGTGGTCTGGCGTCCAGAGCCCACTGTCAGTCTCTGCTTGGTTTCCGCACTCGCGGTGGCTCGGCAAGGACTCTTGGCCCTCTTGGGTTGCCAGGGTGGGCTCCGTGCACGCGTGCACCATCCCAAGGAAAGAGCCACCTCTGAGTCCGAGGCAACGGTTTATGCATATCCAGTGTTTGGGGAGCCGAGCTTCCTGGATTCAACGGGTTTCCCACTTTGCGCAAAAATTGGACGACACGAACATCCTGGAGCCTGCTCCTACGTCACACGCACGCGCGAGCACCCACGAGCAAGCACGACCACACGCATGCAGGCGCGCACGGGCACGCGCACGCACGCGCGCGCGCGCGGCGGGAGTCGCCGCGGGGAGCGCCGTGCATGGGTTTGGGGCATCTCGGGATGCGGGACGGGAAAATGACCACAGCCACTGCTTCTTGTTTGCGCCGCCCTCCAGCCGGCCGAAAAGAAGCAGTGGTTGTGGTCATTTCCCTGGTGCCAAGCTTAGCGAAAATGAGCACAACCACTGCTTTGTTTCTGCTGGCTGGAAGGCGGCAACAAAAGAAAAGCAGTGGCTGCGGTCGTTTTCACGCCCCGTACGGGAGTACCTGTAGTCTTGGTGGAGATATCAATAGCCCGGAGTGTGGGTTGCCGATCGTCCGGTGGGGGCACCAACAAGCCAGTTGGGGACCAACAGTCCGTGGGTGGAGACCAATTGTCCGGGGGGGACTACTTGTCGTCGGGCTGCCAGGAGCCCTGGGGGCTAAAACTATGGTGGGCTTCAGGGTGTCCACCGCCTCCCGCGGTCCAGCAAGGTCAGCTGTCCAGGCAATGGATGTGTGTGTCGGACGGGGACAGGACAATGATAAATCCGTCCTCTTAGAAGGCCGCGGCGCCCGAGGCATCCTCCAGAGCCGCCAGATCTAAGAGACTCTCGAGTTATCCTCACACGATGCTGTCCTCGTCCCGGCTTCGTCTTAGTGTGTGTGTACGTGTGTGTGTGTGTGTGTGTTTGTGTGTGCGTTTGTGTGTGTTTGTGTGTTTGTGTGTATTTGTGCGTTTGTGTGTGTTTGTGTGTGTGTGTGTCTGAGTGTAGTTGTGTGTGTGTTTGTGTGTGTTTGTGTGTGTGTGTGTTTGTGTGTTTTTCTGTGTGCTTGTGTTTGTGTGTGTTATTGTGATTGTGTGTGTTTCTGTCTGTGTTTGTGTGTGTGTGTGCGTGTGTGTGTGTGTGTGCGCGTGTGTGTGTGTGTGTGTGTGTGCGTGTGTGTGTGTGTGCGTGTGTGTGCGTGCGCGTGTGTGTGAGTGCGCGTGTGTGTGCGCGCGCGTGTGTGTGCGTGCGCGTGTGTGTGG